GTAGCGCGCGCCTGTAGTTCCAGCTACTTGGAAGACTGAGGCGGAAGGATCGCCGGAGCCCAGCAGATCCAGGATGCAGTGTCCACTCCAGTCTGGGTGACGGAGTGAGACTCCAACTCAAAAAAAAAAAAAAAGGAGCAGATAATACAAAATGCTGGCGAACATGTGGAGAGATTAGCACTCTTGCTCACCGCTCACGGGAATGTAAAGTGATGCCACCGTTTTGGAAAACAGTCCAGTAGGTTCTCCAACATAGCCAAACATGGTTACCACAATGGCACAGCAATTATACACCTAGAAGAACCGCAAACAGTTACTCAAACAAACACTTATAGACACATGTTCACAGCAGCATTATCTATAATAGCCCAAGGTGGAAACAAACCAAATATCCATCAACTGATGCACGGATACAAAACGTGGTACAACCACACAAGGGAATATTCTCTGGAAATGAAAAGGAACGAAATACTGCCAACACCTCAGAAACACGACACTCCGTCAAGAAGCCAGCCGCCAAAGACCCTGTAATGTGTGACTCCATTTGTATGAAATGCCTGGAGTAGGTAGTTCTACTACCTAGTTTAAAAAGCTGCTCTTAAAAAGTCTCAAGTTATAGAACAAAAGATACGCCCAATTCCATCTCACCAAAGCAGGCTTTCATTTCCTACTTTATTCATTTCTAAACTGACAGACTTTTGTTAACACGTTCGACTAACATAACTGCCCCTCTAGTCTTTCTCCTTCCCTACAAAAATTACAAATGACTTTCTCCTTTATTCATTTCTGTATTATTTGCATTTTGGGGGCTATTTTTACAATGGGAAAAGTACTCCAGAAATTTCTCAGAACTGGGCTGATGTGGCGGGCTAACACTCTGGGCTGTCTTCTTGGATTTGCTCAGGGAGCTATTACCCCTTCCTCAGGTAGGGGTAGGACCCGGGAGGCTGACTTAGTGACAACTAAGGGACATGGCATTTCTTCAGGCGATGATAAAAATGTTCTCAACTTCGACCCTGGTGATGGTGGCACAGCTCTGGAAACACGCTCAAACCCTCACACTGTACACTTTAAGTGGGTCAACTTTACGACATGTTAACTCCAGCTCAATGAAGATGTTCTGAGAGAAAAAATGAAAGAGGTTTCACTAGGGACCTGTGCGGGGCTGAGTGCGCCTGGATCAGGCGGTGCAAGGACAGAGGAGGCTGGAGGGACACACAGGAGCCATCATGAAGACGGCTGCAAGCCAGGGCAGGGGCCTGGCTGTTCTTTTGAAGGTGGAATGACACCAGGGCTCTAAGGAGGGAAGCGGTGTGTCTTATTCAAATTCTGAATACCCCCACTGTGGCCATGGTGGGGCTGTCCAGATGCAGAAAGGCAGGTGAGGAGAAACAAAAGGTGGACAATAGACGAGAGCAGCGGAGTCCTAAGGGCAGCCCTGGCCCGCCATTCCCTGCTTCTAGAATCCCCAAAGCCACATGCTTTTATCAATACAGTCCCCACTTGCAAACAACTTACGCTTGAGGGGACGGCAGAAAGGCTCACACAAGTTATGATAATGCCAGGTGGCGTCTGGCAAGTTTCACAGAAGTTCTGAGGCACCACTGAGGTTCGGTCTGAAAGTCACTTTGGGGACTAGGTGCCATATGTGGGTGTTCCCTGAGCGTCGCCCAGCTGAGGCAACTCCACGCAGAGTTTAGAAAAAAGCCCCAGGTTACAAACCAGTCTCCCCTTTCCACTCAGGTACAGGCAAGTTTCAGAGAAGCATGGAGAATCAGGGCTGGAGGGATCAGAAAGGCCCCTGGGCCACGCCCTGTCCGATGCCGAATTCTACCTACAGGATCCCTGGCTTCCTTAGATTTCCAGAGACTCGCCACAAAGGAGGCCTATTTGTCCCGTCCTTGGATGCCTGGGACCATCCGATCTTTCTCCCTTAAGCTTGGCTGCCACCCCCTGATGCACACCTCTGCCGTGACGGCCACCCGGGCAGAGCCCATCTTTCCACAGGCTAGACCTCTGACTTGATGACATTGGCTGCCACCAGGTTTTCCCTCCTTAAAGCGACACAGATGTTCCCATCCCATCAACAGGTCCTCAGGGAAGTGGACTTGAACCTCGTTCCTGGTGATTCTCAGAAGTCACTAGGATTCCTTGAGGGAACGTTAAAGACCAACAGCCCGACAATCAAAGTACTTGTCTGACTGCTGCAAGAACAAGAGACCCATCCTCAGTCTACCCTGCAGCTTAAGTTCCAAATGACTGCAGGCAGTCAGAGCATGTTAGCACAGATGGTGCTGGCTGGACAGTAAATCTGACTTGATTTCCAAGATAGGGCTAAGACACATCTCCACCCTATGCTTGGGAAATGGCATGCTTAGCCCTCGCACAAGAGAGCTCACCTCTCTCCTCAATTGACCTGGACTCTTGAGCAATTACGGTGTGGCTGGTGGGAGGGTAATGGGCAGAGAAAGTGGAGAAGCGGCAGCCTAGAAACAAAGGGAAGGGCTCACGGCACATCAGCAAGTCACATCAGTGTCTGATTCAAGGCCTTTGTCAGGAGACAGAAAACAGAGACAAGAAAGCCGTGAAGCACCTTGGAACTGAGAGATGCTTGGGAATGTCTGCTGGCCAGACAGAGCTGAGAGGAGAGAAACCCGAGCAGAGGACACTGGACACATCCTGCTCCACCAAAGCAGATGTGTTAATGCCGATGCAGTTAGTCAGCAGGCATCTGGGGACAGGCAGACAGGGAAAGAAGGCTCTGTGACCAGCGAGACCCCAAGACGTGATAGCAGAGGCCAAACTGAGCATGTGTTACCTGAGCTCTTCATTTACTTGTTTGTATCTGTCTGTACCACTAACAAATTTGAGGCACTTCAAAGGATATACAGATTAAAGTAGAAACGTCTGAATAAATCTCAGGACTGGGAAAGAGGTTTTGTATACATTGTTTTACCCCGCTTTTATGAATACCTATTACATAAGATATTGTTATCATCAGTTCACAGCTCAGAAACCGGGACTCAAAACAATTAGGTAACTTGCCTAAGGTTTCACTAAGCGGCAATTAGATGGACATCTAGGTAGGAAATGTAAACTCTTTCCTTCTCTGCCTAGAATGTTTACTTGGCATCTTCTCTATGGACGCTTCCCACCCGGGCAGGGGGCTGTGCAGTCAGAAACTCAGATTCTGAAAACACACCCAAGCCATAGCTCCACAACCTACCGGCTCAGGCAGCCTGGGGCAAGTGACTTAATCTCCCTGCCCCTCAGTTTCCCCAGCTGTAGGATGGGGACGATCATAGTATCTGCATCTCCAGGACCGTTGTGAGGGTCAAATGAGTTCACATGGCTGACACTTCCAATACCGTTCCAGGAACATAGTAAGCACTGACCCGGATTAACCAAACTTGTTGGTTAAACTAGATGCAGACTTGGGCAGGCAGCTCGACCTTCCAGGCCATCATCTGTGAGATGGAGATGATGCTGGGATGTATGCCAGCCACGGAGATGACGTGAGATAACACATGCGACGCATCCACGCGCGTCAGCTATTGTTCCTACCAAGCTACAAGGTGAAGGTCATCTCTTCCTCCATCCTGGGCTGAACACGAGGGGATAATTTAGTCATTCAGCGCATCGACAAAATCAGCATTTAATCCGCCAGTTGATTTAGATAAATGCAAATGGAAAGAAAAACCTTGAAGGGCAATGTGAAATCGTTAAAACTAGGAATAAAAGACAAGAAGACGGTGTGATCGTCAGATAATTTCTGTCTCGTCTGTTTTAAGAGCACGTCCACAGGCAGCATCAGAGCAAACTGCCTTCACAACAGGTGTTCCGGCGTGTGCTCAGGGCATCCTGTCTCGCCCATGGCCCGGCTGCAGTAAACGGGAGAAGAACACTGTGGGCAGATGGGCCAGTGGTGCTGAACTTAAGACTTTCTTTTAACATGTGCCGCCCGCTTCCCGGAGAGAGGGCCGGAAGCCTGCTCTCTCCCATGTGTCTGCCAACACCCGTCCTCCTTCTGAGCTCACTTATACTACTCAGGGAAAGCCTTTCCTGACTTCTTCCCGTGTCTGGGTCAGGTGACCCTGCTGTGTGCCAGTGTGGACTCCCCAGGGCACCCTTTAGCACTGTCCCCCACCACGGGGCAGGGAGTGTGTCTCTGTCCCCAGGGCCTGTCTAGAGCTGACTCAGAGAAAGTAAAAGGAAGAGAGAACCCTGAGCCCAGCCAACAGGCTAGGTTCTACAGGTCCTTTCACTGAGAATGTTACTCTTGAGACACAACGAATGAGACAGGAAAAGAGGCCAGATGTAGTGGCTCACGCATGTAATCCTAGCACTCTGGGAGGTCAAGAGCCGAGGATCACTTGAGGCCAGGAGTCTGAGACCAGCCTGGATAACATAACAAGACCCTGTCTCTATTTTAAAAAAAGAAGAGAAAGAAAAAAAGAGAGACAGAGAAAAGGAGCCTGTAGAAAAACCACAACAGTCAGCTCCAGGAAACTTTCCCTCTGGGAAAGAACTTGGCTCCAACTCCTCGTCCAGGCCTTGGGGGATACTCGGCTTTATTCCCCTCGTGAGCTCCTGCCACCCTGGCTCTGGCTTTCCTGGCCCTCGGCTCTGGTATTTCCCCTGGAGGAATTTTACTCTGTGCAAACAGTCCTCCTGTTGGCTATTTTGGTCAGCTCGGCTGGGTCTTAAGCCAATAAAGCAGCTTCTATGCCCAGGCTTTCCCAGTTGCCTGGCCCAGATGAACTCGGAGCTGGTGAGGAACGCCAGCCATGGCTGGTTTTAGAGAACCCAGTGGCTGTTTTTTTGTTTGTTTTGTTTTAAAAAGGGGGATTGTCTTTGGCTTTAGAATGCTGAGCTTAAATGCCTTCTCTTCTGTTTTCAAACTTTCGTTACTATTTACTTGCAACATTAGAGATGATATTACAGTTTAAGTATATGTTTGGAAATGTTTTCATTTAAACCACACCAAGGAACTAACCAACCTTTATGCGGTCAGGGTCCACATAATGCTTTTTTTTCATGTCACATTCTTCAGTAGTATAATTTAACTTGAGGATATAAAGGATCCACACTCCAAACACAAGCAATGTACACCTGGAAAAAAAAATCAGTAAGGTATAATGATATGGTCATGTGATAATCACGAAGCATAATGTGAAATAAGTGAAAATCAAATCCAAATCGAATCTGCCTGCTACACAGCACAGAAGTACTTTAAGTTGACCTCTAGGAAGGTGCCATTCCCTATTTTCCTGACAGGATAAATTGATCCTTTATGACTGTCTTTGTTATAAGTGAATATAAGAAAAACTTCTTTTTGCAAGGGCACTATAATAAAACCTGAATCACGGTGCTGATTCTTGGACTTAAAAAAAATTACAAGTAATAGATTTGAATGTTCTATGCTTCAATGTGCTTCAATGTTCTGTGACTTTAAAATACTGTCAATTCCCTCCAAAAATGAAATAATCTATTTATAACACTTCTAAAGAATTCTTACCTAGTAATGAGACTAACTGAAATGAGACAGTATCATTAGTTACCCTTAAGACCATATAAAAAAATTGTAAAGATAATTCACACCACTATGTAGTTTAATACATACATGGGATTTGGAGAAAAGAGCTGAGTTTAGTCTTGATTTTAGAAATCTCATTTAAAATAAGCTCTTTAGTGTCACTGACAAAAAGTTTGTTTAAACCAAAGCTTAAGAACCATTGCTCTAAATAAATCACATTCTTGAGAAAACAAAGACAAGGATTAATTAAGGAGAAAAGAGCCCATTTTCTATAGAAAGGAACAGTTAAATTAAAAAAAAAAAAAAGTAACTAGCACAATATACTATATACAACAGATGTCAAATATTTCTTTAGGTTTGAGGATGATAATCCAAGGAAGTACTGCCAGGAGTGTTTTCCAGACTTCTCAATTCTTGAGTCAACAGGCTTCCCCTAAAAACCTGGACAAGCATCTTAATTTTCCCCACGCACTACATACAATGTTAAGCAAACAGGAGGCTACCATTTGTGTAAAAAAGTGGATTGGTGGGGGTAGGGGGCAGGGAGAGCACATGAGCGCGCGCACACATATTTTTCATGCACACAAGAAGTTGGTAACATTGATTATCTTCTGTGGAGGGGAAATGTGGGGTGTTGGGGGCAACAAGGTGTTCCACTGAGTCCCTTTATACTTTTTGAATCTGGAATCTTGTGAACCTAGCATTATCTATTCCTCTCTCCAGTCCCCAGTCAAGATGTCACATTCAGTGCATGGAATACTTCCCCCAGTTTTATTAAAAAAGACAAAGACAAGCCTAGTGTCTAGAGCGTTGATCACACGGCTCGGGAGTTCCTGGCACGAGTTCTGCTTTGCCCACAAAATGAGTGCACAGGGCCCAGGTCGGTCCGATTTGTGGCCTCGCAGCTGGCACCCAACACAATGCTAGGTGCACCGTCGGCCTCAATAAATACTGGTTGAAGACTAAAAGCAGAGTGAATGGGATACAAGCCTTTATTCATATAAATTCCCTCTTCTCACCTTTCTCCTTCTCCACCTCCTAAGTTAGTAAAGTAAAATGGGAGACTAGATTTCAAGATTGGATTTCTAACTTTAGATGTGAAAAAAGCGTAACTTGCAACTTGGCCTGATTGGCGTAAAAAAAGCTGACAAGTTCTTCCTTTATTAATTCTACCACTTACTAGGATATAAGGGTGATCTGGCTGAAACACCTGTCATCCTTTCTAGTATGCAAACAGTGTCCCAGTGCCTTCAGGGAAATTCAATTAACCTTTTATATGAACTTAAAAGAGCCAAGGAAAAAGCCCTTCTTTGTTAAATAATGGCATGCAGAACAGAGCGCTATAAAAGTTGCTCCCTCGGGCATCTGGGCTGAGGTTCAGAGCCTGAATGGCTACTGGGCACTGCACCCTTGCCACATACAGCTGGACGTACACACCCACCCTGTCTGCGCACAGAAGCTTTACTCGGATGTGCCTTTCAATGACTCATTGGCCAGGTGTGCTTCTCTGACATCAGCCATCTTGAGGATTCTAACAGAACTTCCCAAACCAGGGGATCGTGTGGCCCAAGGGGGGGTACTTACTTGAGGATGCCTTTTAACAGTAAGCTGGGTCTTCTCATCTTGTTTTGAGCTCGGGTGTACCATTGCAGGGAAGGCCCCATGCAAACACTGCTCGGTTTCACACGCTTGTTCTCACCTGGCATCGCTGTGAACAGGGGGGAGCACAGAGGGAAGAGTTAGGTGGACCAATTTTCCAAAGAGCCTTTGGGTGATACAGCCATACTGCGGAATCTTGCTCAAAGAGCAATGAACTACTGATCAATGCAACAACTTGGATGGATCTAGAAGGGACTGTGCTGAGCCAATAACAAAAGGTTATGTATTGCACAGTTCCTAACATTCTTGAAATGAGAAAATCATAGAAAGGGAGAATGGTAGTGGGGGTCAGGGGTTCTGCAGGGGGAGGTAGGTGTGGCTACAGAGGGGCAACATGAGGAGCCCTTGTGGTGACAGACATGTCCTGTATCTTGACCGTATCCATGTCAGGACCCAGCTGCAATGCAGTACGATAGTTATGAAAGAGGCCACCCCTGGGAGAAACCAAGTCAAGGGTACAGGAGACCTCTTTGGATTATTTCTTACAACTTCATGTGAATCGATAATTATCCTGAAATTTTAATTTTTGTCTTTTAAAGACCCTTTATCCTTTAAATACATACAGAAATATTTATAGATCCAATGGCAAAAACGAGATCTGCTTAAAAAAAAAAAAAAAAGATCAGGAAGGGGATGAGTGGAAGGCAGGGGAAAAGAGACGAGACTAGCTTTACGCTGATGACTACTGAAGCCAGGGGAATGGGTACTTGGGGTTCATTATATGAGTCTCTACTCCTTTGTGTATGTTTAAGATTTTCCACCACAAAAAGTGTAAAGAGAAACTGCTCTATTAAAAGCAAAAGTGCCACTTTAAGGAAAAAAAAAAGAGGAGACTACGGCAATTTCAAAAGAAAGTTTTCTTTATACACACACGCACACACGAGGAGTGACCCCAAAAAACCCCGAATTTATAAAGAATTGTGTATTTATTCTTACATGTTTAAACTTTAGTCACCTTCAAAACACTCTCCATTTGATGCAATACATCCATCAAGACACTTGTTCCACTGCTCAGAGCAGTTTTCAAACACATCAGTTTTGATGCCTCTTAGTGCATTTGCCCTTTGAGGACTTTTTTCATCCGGGAACACACAAAAAAGTTGCTCAGGACAAGATCCGGTAAATAGGGAGGGTGGGGCACAAGGGCCATGCCGTTTTTGATCAAAAGCTGCTGAACACTCAGGGCGGTGTGGGCATGTAAGTCACCCATCATGAAATGGGCAAACGCATTAAAAGAATCTAAAAAAAAAAAAAATTTCCTGAAGTTGAACGCAGCCTCTCACAACAATGCTAGCTGGTCCACTGATGCTGATGGTTCCTAGAATACTTATCGTGCAGGGGAAGCCTGGACTATAAGGGGCCCGCCCTCCAAAAGGTAATTCTGGTTTGTTTTTTTGGGGGGGAGTAGTCTTCTTAAAATAGAACTACCATTCGATTCAGCAATCTCATTTCTAGGTATCTAGCTAAAGGAAAATAAATCATTATACAAAAAAGACACCTGAGCTTGTATGTTCCTTGCAGCACTGTTCACAACAGCCAAGATACGGAATCGACCTAAGGGTCCACAAATGGAGGTTTGGATAAAGAAGTTGTGGTGTATACACAATGGAATACCACCCAGTCATAAAAACATGACCATAATCATGTCTTCCGCAGCAACGTGGATGGAAATGGAAGCCATTATCCTAAGGAAAACAACTCAGAAACAGAAAATCAAATTCTGCATGCTCTCACTTATTAAGTTGGAGCGAAACAGCAGGCACACATGGACACAAAGAGTGGAACAACAGACACTGGAGATGACAAAAAGGGAGGGTGTGAGGAAGGTGAGAGTTGAAAAATTACCCACTGGGTACAATGTTCACCATTCGGGGGACGGGTGCACTAAAGCCCAGACTTGACCACTACACGATGTGCATGCGTGTAAGAAACCTGTACTTACAACCCTACATATGTGAAAATTAAAAAACATATATATGTTCTTAGACACGCTTGCCTACTTATTCTTTTTGATTAATTTTATTTGCATCTTCTCAAGTTCTAAGTAACATTCCAAGGGGTGTTACAGTAGAACCGGGTACATCTCCCCACACATCGGTTACCCTCTTCCTCTCTACTGGGGCACACGGCATCCCAGAATAAAGACTACTTTCCCAGCCTCCCTCAGTGCTGTAGGCGTGACCTCATGACTAAGTTCCAGCCGGCGGGCCATGAGTAGAAATGTCCTGTACAACTTGGTTGGGGGGAAGAATCCCTGGGCATGCTCCCGGCTTCTTCTTTATCCCCCTTTCCCCTGACTGAAATACAGAAACATGGGCCACTTTGGACCACAGAGAGGACGGTGGAACAATACGAGAGAAGGAGCCAGGGTCTCAGGGGACCACCTCATAGGGCAGAGCTGCCACTCTACTTCTGGACTGTTCTATGACAGAGAAATAAACCTCCATCTTGTTTAAGCAATTGTCCCTTAGAAGCAAAGTTACAGCTCAACTAATATAGGCACCAATTACTATTAAGATAAATGTTTATATTTATTTAAGAAATAATGTCTTCACTTTGTTAGTCTTTTAGTTGGAGACAAGCAGTTATATCTCATTATTCACTTATTTTCCTCATTAGCGTTTTGCCATTTTCTTTGAAGAAAATCTTTTTATGTCAAGCTAAACAGACATTCACGTATTTTTTTGCTGCCATAAACAATCTCTCCTCAACTCGAATTCTAACTGTGTGGCAAGAATTTTATCAATTCTAGACTTCAAGAATTTTTATCGCTATGTATCATTCCACTTGAACAGTTTCAGTAAGCGTCAAGGGCCTTATTAATAAACCTGTGGCTGAAGAATCTGCTGAAATCTCAAATGAGAAGTCAGAGCAACTGAGACCCTGGAAAGTTTTCAAACACCACAGTTCTGCGGTTACTAATTTATGGTCAGCCAAGTGGCAGGAACCAGAAGGCTGCCGCCATCTGGTGCAAATGGAAAATGGAAGTTTCTGAGATGATCAGAATGACATTCAGTTCACACCAAAGTGGACCTCCCGAGAACAAGGCTGACCGTAGTGAGCATAGGAGAAAGCGTCTGGCCTCTACTGATTCCACCTGGTTGGGGCTCTGGATGGTGCTTTGGCTGCGGGTTCGACTCTGCCCCTTGGGCTACAAGCAAACTACATTTTCCAGACTCTCTTGCCAGCTGACTCTCTGGTAAGGGGTGATACTGGCACGTGCTGGTGAAAGACTGGAAGACAGGAGGAAGTAAGTCCTCTTTCTACTCCTCCAACTTGGTGAGGCTTCAGACAGAGGCAGTGATAGTAGCAGGCAGTGGAGGGTGTTTACGTGGGACTCGCACAACAGCCGGAGGCATCCAGGATCCAGAAGAAGACATGGCACGTCCAGCTGCGCTGGGTCAAGTACAAGCTTCAGGCGTGACAATGACTACCTGATGCCCACATCCATCTCTTGGATGCAGACCTCGCATCTGAGCTCGGAGCAGTGCACCTAAGGCCCTGCCTGTTGTCTTCACCTCCAGGGGCATCCCTGAACAGAACCCGGCCTTTCTTCTCTTTCTTCCATTACTTGGTCGCCACACCATCCACACAGTCATCCGAGCCAAGAACCTGCAGGTCAACCCCCGGTCTGTATTCCCAACCCCAGTCACTCCCTGCCAGCCAGCAATACCTTCCGATTCCCCACCACATTCCTTTAGTGAAAGTCACTCTCCTGGACTCCTCTGTCTTCATTTCGTCCCTGCAAAGTCATCATTCCAAAATATGGGGATCTGCTTACTGGCTCCCAACTCGTCTCGGGTTCTGTGACTTCGTGTGACAAGTTTGTATGTCACGTTCCCCAAAGATGGTACTGTCAGGAGCCTGAACGTGCCAGAATGTTGCCTTTGCCTGGGATGTGCCCGCTCCAACCACCTGCCTGCTGAATCACTCTTCCTCCTGAAATCCGGCTCAAGCATCTCTTTCCTTCGCTCTGAGGTCATGTTTCAACAACACACCCATCCCTGGGCACTTTCCTGTCTGTTCCAGTTCCTCACATTATTTGGTGGCCTCACCATCCACTCAGCCATCTCAGCTAAAGTCTGCAGGTCAGTCCTCACAATGAGCTGAAACTGTCCTTGCAACTTCCTGGAGCACCAGAGCTTTGTTCATTTTGTTTTCTTAACACCAAGACAGAGGCTGGCACAAAGGAGATCCCCAAGAAGCACCTCACATGGGATGGGATATGCATTACACGTGGCCTGACATCAAACTTCCAAGAAAAGCATTGTCTCAATATTGGTTAAGGGTAAAACCCAAACCGAAGGTCAACAGAAATTGTAATGGCAAGAATAAAGCCTAAGACCCACTGAAACATCCTAAGTGTCCAACAAGGGGAAACCTGACACAAACTGTATGAATACTCTGCAGTAATTAAAATCGAGCTACACAGTGGGGTCTCTGATGGGTAGCATCAGTGTCACCTGCGAGCAGTTAGAAAGGTAGAGCCTCCCTCTCTCTCTCTCTCTTTTTGTTTTGGTGGAAGGGTCAATTCAGAATCTATAACCCAAGCGTTCTGTAATGTATATTTTTTGTTGTTTTTTTTTTAAATTAAAGAAGAGCAATGCTGGAGAGGAAAGGGCAAAATTGGAGTTCAGTTTAGGACATGATAGCAAGTTTAATAAGTCCTCAACACATCAAAGTGGAAATGACAAGTAGGCATTTGAATATATGAGTTTGGAGTTCAGGAAAGAGGTCAAAGTTGGAGACAAATTTTGGAGTTGTTAATATTTAGGAGATATTAAAGTCATGATATCTGGGAATATACCCAGAAGAACTCAAATCACTCTACAAAAAAGATACCTACACATGTATGTTTATCGCAGCCTTGTTCACAGTGGCAAGAACACGGACCCAACTGTGCTGCCCAGCAAAAGAGGACTGGATTAAAAAAATGTGTTACATATACACGATGGAATATTATGCAGCCATAAAGAAGCACAAAATCAGGAACTTTGCAGCAACTGGATGTTTCACAGAAACAAAGAACTGAGTATCACATGGTCTC